TGCCAGATCCATGGATCCCGTTAACCGTAGCTTACCTTCAGAGGCTGTTCCGGAAGCCAGGTAGACGGTCGTCTTCCTGAACGACCTGGTCGTTGTCTAGCGGGACGCACCATCACAGACCAACATCCCACAAGGCTGCAAAAGGGCCGGATGTGGCTTCTCTGTTTACCCAGGACGATGAGTTTTTTGAGCTTCTTTGAGCAGCTCACCGCCGCCACCCAGGAGTTGGGCGAACATACCGATACTCGTTGCTACAACCAGAGCACCCACACCCACGGCAAAGTCTAGTGGTGGATGTTGTCTTGAGACCAACTGCATGGCCTGAGTACTGGGCCCAACACACGAATTCCTGCTGTAACCCTCCAGCCAGTGCCCAGGCAATGGGAAGCTCTTCAGCAAACACGGCTCTCCATCCCTGGTTTCCTGATTAACCCCTCCCCCCCTTACCTCACCATGGAAAGGAGCGTTGCTTAAAGGAGGGGTTACATGGTCGATCCGCTCCCATCGCACGCGGAGCTTTACTCAAATTCCAGCGGTTCCCATGTCCCAAGGATCCGGTCGTTGGCTTGAACATGAGGACACAGCAGCTACAGGTGGTGGGAGGTCGAGCTAGAGCAGTGTTGCACAACTCCCGATAGGATACAGTGGTGGACTAAGGATTACGTTGACGCCACTTCTGCTGTCTTTCGCGAGTACTCGCGGTTTCCACTTGCTGAGATTTCCCGAGAACACGGACTTGGATCCTTCTCGGTGTCGTTAGGCCTATTTGCGAATTGTATGGCCCGGAGACGAATAGAAGAAGGGAGGCCAAGAACAGCTCGATTGCTACCTCCTCGTGCTCGTCCGAGCCAAATCACCTCGTACCACAAGAAGACGGGGAAAACTGCCATGCTGATTTACCTGTCTGGCATTAAGCAGGCTAGGATCACATGCAGCCGGGCAGTGACCAAAGGCGGAGTTTATGGTCTGATCCTTACACACAAAGCAGACAATCATCTGCACTGATGCCAGCAAAGTGAGACCCGCGCCAGGCCCGTATCTCACGACAACGGCCAGAGAGAGGAGACGGGCGCCTCAGACAGAAACATCGATCTTTGCTTTGCTCAGCACGCATGCCTGCCTCTTGCGACCTCAGGCCTCCACCACACCACCTCCCCAAGACCATGATGGTAATAATTCGGTCGGATGGCGGTACAATATGCACGGTACAGGCAACGGTCTGCAAAATATAGGTAGGGGCATGGCTTTTTGCTGATGAGTTGTGTTGCTGCGTATTGACACATTGGCGTATTCGGGTACGTGCTGATGAAGGTTTAATTATCTCACTCCCTCTCGGTCCCTTTCCTTTAGCATCTCATCCCTTCTGACCCTGGACTAATTGTTTGGCAGGCGTGTCGCACTTTGGGCAGCAGAGCTCACAGAGGTTAAGCTAACAATGTTTCCTGGGCGGGGGCGATTTGATGAAGGTTGGAAGAAGAAATTGGCTGGGCCAATTCAACGAACGAACCCCTCGGCGGGCCGCTCTGCAGGTTTGAAACTAACACAGAGGAGAGCCTGGCCTGGCTGACCAGGTAGCTGCTGGCTCGGACAGTGGAGTTTCGGGAGAGGGCGCGATGACGCGAGCCACAAAACTCTCCTGGTTCCAGCTATTTGGGAACCGAGGAGCGAGGGTCGACAACCCTTCCTTGTCGGGGGAAGCCACATCCTGGTGCTTGGGAGCACAATGCCTGTCCACAGCGGCCACGTACTCGCTGCACTCTGCAGCCCTTGCACCAACGGGTTCAGATGCATTGCATGGCGGACGGGTAAAAAGCAAAGGGAGAGACTACTTGAGACGACGACATACTGTGGTTGTGCTAGGCGCCAGGCAACTATTCAACCCACCGCGCCCCGAATCGTTCATGATTGACGTCAAGACGAGCGGTAAGATAGAGGTGTCCAGCCTCGTAACAGACCTGCTTGAGCTCCGTGGTCAAGTTGTAGCTGTGCAAAGATGGAGTTGCCGAACATGTTGCGCGGATGGCCCGGAGGCGACCCCGAGGACGGCAGACGATGTCATTACAACAAGCAAGACCGGTTACAAGGCGGCTCCCAATGCATTGTAACGGCCGGGATACCGCGCGACAAGCGATGGGCAAATTGACGCTTATGGCTTGCTGGGTAGCCACAGACTTACCTAGCAAGTGGCCACGGAATACAATCTGGAGCAGGGGGTTGCGATCCCTCACTCGGCAACTTGAACGAAATGGTGTCTCTGCGCATGCGTTTACCGAGCAGCTACCCAAGTAGAGGTAGCTATTGTTCATCGACTGACGCAAGACACTCCTTTGCATCGGGGATTCAGGCAAGAAATTAGCCTGTCAGAGATGATGCACGTCAGAAGGGAGCATTCGACCCATCGCTCTATAGGTTACTTCTGTGTGTAATAATCCCTCCAGCCACTCAACTTGAACGAGTCTGATGAGAACAAGCAGGTGTCTGGAGAGGAAATCGAAAGCAACGCGACTTGGCAGCCGTTGACCGCGACCTCTCTCCTGCACGGTTGCGGACCATGCATCTGCATATCCGTACTTACACAATATTCCACAACTCGCGTTTACCCGATATGAGAGAAATTTGGCCCGTGGCCTGCTTCTCTTTCCCTCGTCCAACGGCTTTTCTTCTTCCTACGCAGAGAGGGGGGAGATGAGTTGGCTGTCGATGAGGAGTCACATTCATTCCCGCCAGCAGGGAACCCTAGTCGACAAGCACCCTGCTGGCTCCTCCGTCTTCATTTTCCTCTTGAACAGAACCGTACTCTCGGGTTCCAATAGGACGGGATGCTGGGGCATAATCGTCCCCCTTATCGATGCCAACCGGCCCCCTACGACCCCTGTCTTGCTGACGGAACCACAGCTTACGGACTAATACCATGACACTGCGATACAAAGATACCCAGCTGAGTCCCCCCTATTGTTGAATCCTGGATGACGAGCGGCGTTGCCTGCCATCTACGATCCAATCGTCTACCAATGGCCCCCGGTTCTACGGAGAGCAAATCCAAGGACCAGGTTCCTGTCGTTTCACCAGGACGGGGGAACAATGCTTCTAGAAGACCATGGTGTTGCGAGCTGACTTTCTGAAAAGGCATGGAGCGCGCGGTGCCGGTCCTGCGATCCGGCGAGTCCTACCTCCCGCGCTCTCTTTTCCGGGAACCCGTAGGGAGGAGATGAAAGGTGCGGCTGCGGCTGCGGCTGCGACTGCGACTGCGGCTGCGACTGCGACTGCGGCTTTACTGCGGCCATGGGCACATGAATCGACTTTTCCTCTTTCATCTCTTCTGCCATCTACCGACGATGCGGAATTTGGACGTAATACCGACGCCCACCCATCCTATAATATTATTCTGGCGCGCACAGATCACGGGCTGGGCGGTACCCTGGCACACTCACACACACATTCACACGCACGCACACACATACTTACCGTGTATTGTGTACAGCCCTCCAGGCCTGCAACGACGAAGGGAGGCGGCCGCGCCGCTACCGCCATCTTCTTTCTCCGTGAAACGCGACTTGGGATCACAACTGATGACCGATGGATGACAACCTCGAGAGGATTCGAATACCTACCTTTGGCAAGCTTCAAGGAGCATTGATAGCCAACAAGAGACAACCGGCGCAACTCGTCGAGAGCGGACCGTCATCGTCCCAACGGTCGAACCAGGCCTCCTGCTGTGTGACCTGAGCAGTCACTTCGGCACAACGCATCATCTCTTTTCGTCCTCGTCCTGCAAAACGTGTCATTACAAGGTGTCTCGCGGCCTTTGGCCGTGCTGTGAACACCTGGGCTTTCTATGGGTAAGTCCTCTCTGTATTTTTGCTTCTTTCTCCCTTCTTTATTTGGTACCGTGTTTGGAATTACGAGAAAACGCCGGTTGGCGCATAAGCCCCCTCTCCCATCCCCTGAACCATATGGGCGCGCGAGAAGGTGCAGATATGTAGGTCTAAGGTGACAAGGCCAAGTTGGAAATCCTTGCCTGATTCAACCCAGGAAAAAAGGGACCTTTTTTCCTCGTTGCCGAAAAAGGTCACTTGCATGCGCGCCCTCTTATTTTTTCTTAACCCTCTTTCCAGCCTCCCGCAAAATGGAAAAAAGGACCAACAGTAATAGCAAATGTAGGTACGGATGCAACTGTTGCGGTATGAACCCACCCCTTCTCTCCCCTCACTTCACGGCCCATACCTAGCCTCCCCTATTCTTTGCTTTTCCTTCGTTTGTTTCTCATATCTGCGCCTATCCCTTCAACCCTTGTTCATCTCACGATGTCCTTTGGGAGTCCTGTCTCCTCTTCTGACCATGGGTCTGACTCTGCGGCCTGTTGGGACCCACGTCCCTCCTCGCGTGTTGTGTGATACTGTGTCGTGTTGTCATCGTGTGTCTCCCTCATCATGTCTCTGGCTGTTGCCCGCCGTCCGGTTTCGTGTTGTCTGTCTCAGCGACCCGAGATTTCTCTTCTCTCTCCCTCTCCCATGTGCCCAGCCACGCCAAGTCAAGGGACGAATGCACAAGAAACGCCGCCATATGCCATGTGTATCGTGATTTCTCTTCGTGATTTCTCTTCTCTTCTCTTCTGTGCTGACGCGCTGAAGGGCGGGATGTGCAGAAGGAAGAGAAGGAGGGGTTAGTCAGCTATTCTAGACACACGATCCGAAATTGAACCCCCCCCCCCCCGGGCTCCCCTATTTCGTACTCGGTGGTAATAACCGCTCCAAAGCAAGCAAGTGGGAATAAAACAAAAAAAGAAGGAGGAAGAGAGAGGGGGAAAACACCGCTTCTCGACTCCTCCTCCTTCTCCTCTCTCCACCGCGGGACCCCTTCCCTGGCATGGGACAACCGCAGGCGGAGCAAGAGAAAAAGGGACCCCACCAATCGATAATCCAGCTCCAACTCCTCTCTAACTCCGTGCCACCCCCCCGTAATGTTTTGCTCGATGCAGGCCCCCCGAGTGGATGGGTGGATCACCAGCAGGTGAAAACCGGGTTCCTGGCTTTCACCGGCTCCAACCTCTCCACAATAACCTTGCGTTGGTTGCCCTCCATGCCCTCGGCGGCCGCATAGCCCAGGTCGCCCTCCTCGACGTCGTCTTCTTCGTCATACTCTTCCATGCTCCGGCGCGAGCCATACAGGTGCTGCGCGATGCTGCCGCTGTTGCGTCGTCCAGCTGCCGTCGCGAAAGAGTAGCGCCGTTGCTGCTGCTGTTGGGACTGCTGACGAGCGGGAGAATACATGTTGAGGGCGCGAGTGCCGTGGTAGCTCTCTCGGTGCGATTGTCCCGAGAACCTGGGCCGTTGTGACGCCGCTTCCTTATTACCTAGCGGTGCAGATGACGCCAGTATACCCGAACCGCTCATGGACATCTCGTCCGGTGATTGGGCTCCCTCGCTCGTCGGGCTTAGAGCAAGCTCAAACCTGCCCGGATGAGGCATGTCGGCCGGGGGACTAGCGAAGCCGAGCAGGTCCTCGTCCACGCGGTGGGTAGGTGCAGCAGACGTGTTTGCCTGGCCAATGTCGCCCTCGTCAATGGAGCGTCGGAGCTCTGCCTCGCGCATCATCTCAGCGGACGTTACCCGCATGGGCACTGCAACTGGCACGTCGACAAGATCATCCCAAACGCAGACCTTGGCGCGCCGGGTGAGCTCTAGAGGACCGTGATCCGGTGTCTTGAGCGTCTCTACCACGTTCCACGCCTGGCCCTTCATGACCGCGATCTGCCGAGCAAACATCTTTTCCTGAAAATCGGGATCCAGTTGGAACACTTTTCGCAACGCCAATTGTGTCTGGCTCCACCAGTGCGTTGAGGTCAGGAGGGGGAGGAAGTGATCTCGCGTCTTTTGCGAGAACGGCCGTCCAATCAGATCAACGGGAAGGAACAGCCAGCCAAATGGGAAACTGTATGATATGGGCGGTTAGTATTCCTTTCCACGCGCATTACTGTTCACGCGGAACAAATTGAAGAAGAGAATTGGACCATCTAAGGGACACATACCTTCGCCATGCATCGGGGTGTTTCCAGGGCCAGGAGAGTGAGTTGTCGATGGCACCAATCGTTATCTTAGGATCTTGTGCGCTTGGATTGGGACTGGACGCCTCCATCGGCTGTTGCGTCCTGTAAGGGTATGAGGAGCGGTTTTCTGCTGCTGGTCGCTGGTTCAAGTCTACTGGGCGAGGCCCGCTCTCTTCCGATGAAGCTGTGTCTGTGTTCATTTGAAGTGGTTCCGACACGATCGATACTTGCTGTGTGCTCCAGTCCACTTTGATCATCCAGTTGTCCAGGCCGCGATCAGTGTTGCGCATCATGTAGTCCAGAATGACCAGCTTCTCGAGCTCTTCACGGAATGATTGCTTCAAGCCTTCGGTCCACACAAAGTTGTCCGGACCTGGCGGCAACCGTTCCCGGCTGCCTTCATCGTCACTCTCAATGTCATCCAAGGCTGCCGCACTGCTCGGCCGGCAGTTGTCTGCCCACCTTCTCCTACGCTTGCGATGTGGATCGTTGGTCCTGAAGCCGGACCAGTACTGGTCGGGCCATGGGTGTTCTCTGAGGAACACATTGGCGTCTTTGAAACCTTTCAGGAAGACCTGAAAGCTCCCGGGCTTTTCTGGAAGTGGCTTTTGCTTTCTGTAGAAGCTGCGACGGTCCCAGAACGGATAGTGGAAGGATTTTGAGGATAACCAAACGACATCCGTGTAAGGCACCATGTGGGTGCGCAGTTGGCAATCTAACGTGTATGCCGCCGCTTCGCTGACGTATGAAAGGTTGGGAATCAGACTGCGATGCGATTAGCCATGAAGCTTCTTGAGGTATTGTATGGAGAGTATCATACCATGCTCGCCCAAAGCAACAAGGAAACAGGTTCCGATGGATCCATTTGTTCCACTTGGGATTGCCAGCTGCGTACGGCTCCTCGTCCTTGGGCTTGAAGACGCCCACGACCTTGCCCTCCGTATTCCGGGCAAAATAGCTGCCGGAACTCCCCTGTGCAATCATTCGAGGATGCGTGCCCTGAAGGATGGCCTGCCTGACACTGCCCACGATCTGTTCGAACTGCGACTTGGACATGACATCTTGCGGCGCAGCCAGACCTTCAGGCGTAATGGGTCGGACACCCTCGGGAGCTTGGAATACTGAATGATGGATCTCTAAATGTTCATCGTCTCCCGTCTTGCCGCGCCCCTTTGTGCGCTTGAACCGGCTGGCGATCTCATCGGCCCATCGTTCTAATCGAGCATTGATGGCTTTTATGTCGACACCGGAATTGCTGCCGCCGCGACGGCGATTCTTAGGTCTGGAAGGGCCGGCTATCGCTGGTTTGGGGGTCGTCATACCCGAACGGGGCCGCGGTTGCGTGATGGGTGCGAAGCGAGGGGCCGAGGCCGGCTGGAGGGAGGCATACGACTGGGTAAGAGGGTCGTCGTCTTCGGAATCGGAGGAGAGCGCATCGGCTTGAGCGAGGCGCTCGTAGCCTGTCGTCGGGGGTCGAGAGCGAGGCATCGTGGCTTTGGGGGGGCCAGGGATGAGGGACCGTCTCGGCAAGGAAAGGGCAAGGTAATTATCGAGCAAAGGCAGGGCCGGAAGTCAGAGCCATGTGGGTTGGTTTGGAGGACTTTGGATGAAAACTCGCGGTTGAGAAGGCTTGTATGCTAGTTGGTCGGCTGTATTTCCGTTTGGATGCGATAATTGTGCTAGCGAAGGGAATGCGGAATCTCGGCCTAAGGATGGATGGAGGAAGCCACGAGGTCAAGCCCTCAGCAGGGAGAGAAGAGAGAAAAAAAAGGATAACACTGTAGAAATAAAGGTGGCTTCAAGGAGACAACAGGCAGCAAGTTGGCGATGAAAGCAAAGGAGGGAAGTAAAATGGTAGGGCTGTAGCGGTGCTCGTGGCGGTGGTAGACACAGAGCAATTTCTCGGTGAGTCGCGTCGTCGAGCATGTGTCGTTAGAAATCCGTGGTTTCGGCGGACCGCGATGCTGTCATTGGGGTGCAACCGGCGCTGCTGTCACCCTGGGCAGGTACCTTTTCAAAAGTACCTGCTCCAAAAGCTTGCTTAAGGTTCCAGAGCGCCTGAGGTGCACCGAGGTCGCCAGTTCTAGGCGTTCATAGCGGTTTAGCACTGGGCAGTCGGCCCCTTGCCTCCGCGCTTCCCCGTGCTAGTGCTTGAGCCGGTGATTGGGGTACGCGGAACGGACGCAGTGTTTACCCGACTCAAGTAGACTTACCTTAGGTAATATGGATGTCAAGTCAAGTACCTTTAAGGCAACTTTGCTCAGAAGGTGCTGGACTCTTTTGATTAGCAGAGATAACTGATCCGATACCTTAGGTAGGTATTGAAGAACCAGAAAATTGCATAGGAACTCGAGGTAGAACTCCTCGTGTCTTTCAGATCACCTCATTTGTTACTGCTGTCAGCAACTGTGCCGTTCCAGGTCAGCTGATACCAGGCCGGACACTTGTCAAACGTTTACCAAAGCCAATGAGATGGGGAGATCCAAGTCTGAGAGCGGTGGTGCCAGCGTTTGCTTATCAGTCTGAAGTGAGACACAGGTGGCCAGGCCACACTCTTGGAGCGTCTTCACATCGAACTTGTCGCAATAAACCTAAGAAAGATGATGCTCGTCGATCTGGTCTCTCTGGAAAGCGAGGGATACTTGACCAGCTCGCACAATGTGGTTGACAGATGAGATACTCTCAAACTCGGTTCTGAGGTAGTTTCGCTAGGTAGCCTGCATATCTCGATTGAGCCAGCTGTGGATGGCATTTTGATCAACACTGTCAAATACCCATCTGCGTTCTACGAGGTAACGGCTGTGCAGGCAACCAGACATGCCGCGCAGGATGGACAGAAGCCGTCGACTGCACAACCCAAAAGTAATATCGGCCTTTCTTACCTCACCAAGTGGCCAAGCTAGGTACTGGTAGTGTTGCTCCTCAGTCGAATGAGATGCCACGGCTGTCACCCCAGAATCCCCCCCAAACTCTCGGGTCACAGCCATGGACCCCACCCACACAGCACCGTTCTTCTCCTCCTCCTCCTCCCCCTCCTAGAGTGCTCCCCTCCATGAATTGGTTCGATTCATCACCCGACCTTTCGATTCTGACTTGATCGTCCCGGGCCAAGGTTCCGTTTGCAATGCGTAGGTAGGATTGTAAGACCCGACCAATCCTGTCCCAACGACTTTCATGATCCCCCGCGTCTTGTAAGTTTTTTTGGTGACTGATCAAGCCTGGGCAATCCCCCCCCTTGCAGAGTGACAGATCCCCCATCACCGTTTGCTTGCGGTTTGGATGATTGAAGCGCGCCGTCTAACCCGAATAATCTTCATACGTCAAGCCTCCAGGTGTATACTAAGATCCCGATCAGGTCAAATCATCAGCTACGACGCCCAGCGCACATCTTTCGATTACCTCGTGATTTGCTCTCCTCTACTGGCCTAGTTACTTTACCACGGAAGTAGAGAATGAATTCTTTATCATGCCTTGAACCCGCTCCACCCTTTTGCTCCCCCCCCAGCTTCTTCTTACACAGCAGCTCAGGTGTTACATTCCCATATGTGACTTCTTGCATCAAAACATTTGCACTGACATCCCATCATCTAATTTTGATCAAATTTTCGGTCAAGTGAATATGACGTCCCAACTCGAAACGGTTGCCAAGCTTCGTTCCGTAACGTCGAGCCCCTTCCCACCCGAATCAGATGCTCTCCGCGGCCGCAAGAGGCACCGCAGCCTCACGAGATGTGACCTAGAGGCCACTCACTACGGCGGCACGGGCGAGTCCAGCACGCTCCGGGGCCGACCCCGTCGTCGATCAACCTCGCCGACGCCGGTATCGTCCAGAGCGTCTTCGCGAACCGGAGCCGTCGCCGGTGGCATGCCGAGTACGACGGACGTGTCTCCCATGAGGAAGCGTCTGCTCCGCGTCGTGCTGCTGGAGCGCCGACGAAGCCAGAGCCCCTCTCGGTCTAGGTCGCCTGACCGCAAACAGGCCCCACCCCGACGCCGACACAGGACTCGGAGCCGGAGCCGAACGCATACCAAGGATATGTTCCAGCCAAAAGATCAGCTGCCTCGGCTTTTACTTGGAGAGCAGGCACACAAGAAGGTGGATACATCGGTTCAAGTCTGATCGTCAGCTGACCTGGGAGCACGCGAACACGAAAGGAAGCCCAGAATGGTCTAAATAAGGACGGAACGTGAAGAAGGAAACAACATCTCTATAACGCCAGTCATGCAACCGCTCACATGGGATTATGCGGTGTGCTACCAAATTATATCCTTGGTATGCTGGCTCTAGTCCCTTTAGTCGTTCGGAGTTTTTGAGCGCGCCGATGAGACTTTGCCACGAAGGAAATGTCTCGCACACCTCAGATCAACGCAAGACAACCATCGAGGCATCCAGGGCCATGATGGAATCGACCCGGTTGGGGGGGATCAAAAGAATGGGTGTGGAAGTTCACTATGGCCCATTGTCCGGCTGGTAGTGGGGTGAGAGCGATCTAAATTGCGTGGTACTGAAGGTGGTGGGCAGCGCTTGGAATCAGTGAGTACCTCAGGGAGTACACGTGTAAGAGACTTCAGGTCAAAGATGGGCCGGGACATGTTATCTTGGGCCGCACTCGAGATACTACTGCCCAAAGATTCGGACATTGAAGGTTGAGTAATAGCCAGTTGCTCAGACTGGGAGGGGAGGCGGTGACGCTGATGGTTCAGTTGGTGGTGTTGATGAATACGAAGAAGAGTGTCAAATGTATTATTCTCACCGGTAGATTCGGGTGACACTGTGGTAAGGCGGGCAGGTTTGGTAAACAGGATATGCCTGATTAGGAACATTCATAATGATACTACCTAGGTGCCTTACACACAAATGACAAGAAAGAAAGAAAAAAAAGTTGCATGGTCAAGTGATCATCCACCCTTTCACAGGCTGCCTCTGGGGAACCACTCGGACGCCCTGTCGAGGTGTACTTAGAACCCAAGAGGTGTAATAGAGGGTAGGAAGAAGGTGGGAAAGGCTTGGGCCGAGATGGGAGAAAGTGGGGTGCACAGATGGTAAAGGGTGGCCACGTGAGGATGCGAACTTTCCAGGTAGCTAATCGGAAATCGGGAATCAACGGGTCTCCACTGCAGCTGCCCCGCTGCAAGAGGCGGAGGGAACTCAGGGAGTGACCTCAGCTGCAAGAAGGCTGCAGCCAACTGCTGCACCACATTCCATGTGCCGCGCCTACCTTCACTTTTTTTCCTACCTCCACGACGACGACGACCACCACCACCACTAGTTCACTACTACCAGTCTACCACCACCTTACGGCAACCTGGGCTTCCTTTTCTATTCTTTCCCTCCTCCTTCAGCCTGCACTTCCATCCATCTCGCCCGGGGTGTTGTATTGGTTCCTTTCGTTTGAACTGCTTTCTTCATTTCGCCTTGCGCCGCCCCTCCTGCACAGAACTTCTTCAACCGCCGCGAATCTGATGAGGACGCAAGAACAATGATATGGAACAAACGACACTTGTGAATAGGCGTCGGACTTGACTCGACCTTTGGCCTCCTTCTTCCCCCGACTTCTCGCGCCATCCACCTTCTCCGCCTGGGCTCTCTTGTGTGTTGTTTCTGGTCCCCAGCTGAGCCTGCTCAAAGTACGAAGTACCTTACTTCAAGTGGACTCGACTCACTCGACGACTCACCATTGCGGAAGTGACTCCTCTAATATCACACTCTCATCACCCCCCGGACCAACTCATCTCAACCGCGATATAGCCTTGCGCCTGCCTTCCTCTCCTCGCCTCTCACCATCTGCATCATCACTGCCTTCAATCTATGCCCTTGAGCGACACTCGTTATTCGGAACTTTGCTGCTTCTGCCACTTCTTTCACATATTTCCTGGATTTGAGGTCGACTTATCTACGGTACGACTGTTCATTGTCACGCCAATATCAAACAACGACTCCACACCTCGCTCTCGTTTGTGATGATCGCAACCACCCCTCTCAGACTGCTCTACTGAAGCCCGCCCTCTGTGTGCAAGCTAAAGCACCTTCCTCACGACAGCAACAACAACAATAACATACTAGACGACAGTATCGAGACGCAGCCATGGCATCGCCAAACGGGCCAAATGGTGAGTGAGCCCCGCCATGGACCGGTTGCCTACCCCTCCAAGCCCTAGGTCGACTGCTCTTTCCCTTCTGCCAACCTCTGCCACAATCACAACCTCTTTCTGTCCATCATTTTGTGATTTCCAAATACTTACAACCTTTCCAACAAAAAGGCCGAGCAAATTACATCAACGCCCAGCCTCAACCACAGTCGTGGAATGCGCAAGCATTGCTGAACCCACGATCCTACGCTGTTTCAAACGCTGCCTCGAGGCGCAATTCACCCAAACCTCAGCACTTATCGAACCGATCTACTCCGGGAAATCAAAATACCACCAATAACCCTGTTGTCTTCCAGTTCGCGAGTCCCAACGACACGACTAGCGAGTCTCTGACGCCT